CCCCCCCCCCCCCACCCCGCTTCGTGTGGCACAAACGTAGGACCCAAAGACACCGGAATGGCCGGCGTGTGAGTCGGAGGCTGCGCGGCTCCGAAGAGATATGCAACTCGCGGCTTTGAGAGATCGCCGGCAATCGATCGGTGAGATAGGTGGTCGAGAGGAACTCGTGCGAGAGTTTCATTTCAAAGTGACAAAAATAATTGTGCCAGATGGAGAAGAGGGCAGTGTCGAACCTGTTTTTTCTGAGGGCTCAGCAGGCGCACTCGTCAACAGAAAATATCATTTATTCAGCTTCCAAGCTGATGGGTTATCAATTCCATAGGAAGTTTATGATATGTTTTACGTTAAGGCTGAGTCTCCCGTTGTGATTTTTTCCGGATTGGATTTGGGGGGGGGTCCTTTTCCGAGCCCAAAAACTTATTAGGGCAACCTTCGGGTAGGAAAATGGCAAATTCCAACAGGTCAAAATCCAACAACCCCAATTCCAACAGCGATTCCGGCCGGCCTGTTAGAAAACGGGCCAANGTCATGCACAAACCCTCTGCAGGTATCTAAAATTCAGGGCGTTCTGCGTCGTGTTGGCCGCACACGAGCCGAAAACGTCAACCCTGCCACATTGCTCTGCTGACGTTCTTGCCTTTCGGCCGAAAAGACCCTTTCTTACGCCTGCTGCATGCGTGACCGGTTGAGAACGCACGCCAGAGAGAGGCCTTTGGCCGTCGACATCCACAAGCTGCAGCCAATGGCGTGCGGTCATACTCATACCCTCTGCTCGTGTACCAGAAACAGAGCGTATTGTCCAGTTTTGATTGCACACGACCTGTAAACGTAAACTAAAAGTGTGTTGCGGTGTTGACTTTTTTTTTGGCGTTGCCTTTTCTTTTCTGGTTGCTCCGAGCGTGATCAGCCCACAACGCACGCTAGAGGGAGGCCTTTTGCCGACGACATCCACAAGCTGCAGCCACTGGCGCGTGATGATACACATGCCCTCAGCAGGCGACCCAAGAACAGGGCGCTCGGTGTCTTGTTGGTCGCACACGAGCCGAAACCGTGAAATGAAGCATGTTATGACCCACAATAATCTTATATCGGCCAAGAAAAAATGTGCCTCGAGGTACCGTAAGAAGGTCGTTTGGATCCAGATCATTTTTCCCTTGCAGACAACCCCCCCCCCCGACCGAGAGAAAAAATATATATATCTGAAATCATCAAGCCAATATTGGCCTAGTGGTTTGTCCATTTAATGAGCAGTTCGTGAAATACCACGTTAGAGATTTCGTGATTCTACTTTGTGTCCATAGTTTTACTGGCAGATAAAGCGGTAACCCAGTGGTCTACTGTACCCATCCGTTCCCTATTCGGCGGTTGGAGAGCATATGGGGTCGCTCCCTCCTTCTGTCCCTTGTTTGTGTTGGACAACAAGTTAGTCGGGGCTGACGCTAAGTAGATAGTGCTGTAAATCGCCAAGCTGGTTGACCTCTGTTGGTGCAGACGCACACCGTCCAATACAGAGCTGCCTGCTGATGATACATGACGCTAAGTAGTGGTGCAAATCGTCAAACTGGTTGATGTTTGTTGGTGCAAATGTATACTGTACGGCTCAATGCAGAGCTGATTGCTAATGATACATGACAGCTTCATCGCGAAATTGTTTGGTCTTGATTGTTGCAGATCCAACAGCGTAGATGCTCACTCTCCGCAGGATGGATGGCAAGAAACGCGGAAAATAATAGCACCCCGTCCCCCCCATTTTTCTTCCTCCAGCATGGGCAGAGAAACTGGGCTCGTCAGCTGACTTGCGAGAAGCCCTCCGGCGCCCGCCGTCGTTCAGCGCGCGAAGCAGCCAGGGGCCAGCCGCCGGGGGCAAGAGGGCGAAGGCCACCGCTGTGCCTACTCCGTTCGCCGCTTCGCCTGTGTTCCGAGACCTCAAGGAGCTCGTGGCCCAAGGCATCCCGCCCGCGCTTCGGAGCGCGAATCATCCTCCTTCCGCAGGCGCCACCGGTGCTAGAAGTTCTGCGGCAGGGGCAGGGGGCAGCAGGAGGGTGGGGGGGGCGTTCATGGCGGCGGAGGAGGAGGGGGAGGAGGAGGCGGGTTTCTTGGATGGCGTCGTTACCGCCATCCCGCGGGTAGAGGTGAGCGAGACGATGACGCTGTATGCCCATCATTTTACGGTACGAACGACTTGGTTATTATTCCGTCTGTGCCAGTCGGTTCAACCGTCATCACAGTATAGCGGACACCGGCACTATTCACAGTACATAATTACTCGGTTGATTTAGTCTGTGCCAGCCANCCCCAACATCTAGAAAGCATTTGTGTTGTATGGTCTACACCTTGTCCCGCTTGCGTTCTCCGGCCCAAGTCTGATACCAACATCTACATCGTGTTAGCTTAGCATCGGGGGGGACCACACAAGACGAAGAAGAGCGGGGGGGGGGGGGGGGGGGGGGGGGGGGGG